CACACACACACACACACACACACACACACACACACACACACACAGAGTGACAACTGAATCACCTGTGTGGTGCCTGTTTTCACACCTTCTATTTAATGTTATAACAGTAAACATTAGAGAAGCACAAACTAATCTTTCGAGCAGTTGTGTCCTACTATCAGATTACTGTCGAAACAAATAAATGTTATAAATATTTATAGAAGATCTTGGTGAAAAATATCAGCAAACATGTTGTCACTCAAATGCATCTATAAACATGTTTATACCTGCGCAGGGAGAGAGACTCTGACCGGAACTGTACAAAGAAAAATCATTCCAGTTCCTGTGATGGTTGGGTGTAGTTAGGTTTTAAAGACATTGTAAATTACTCAATAGAGTTATTCACTTATACATTTTTAATTTCAGAAATTCACGTCCACACACTAGGGGGCACTACAGGGATTAAACAAGTGGGTCAATCCTACATTCCCGTGGGGTTATCCACACCAACTCCCGTGGCGATAAGTTGTAACTTTTTCTTTTGAAGTTAATGCGACTTTATAAAATCTCAGAGCTACAGTAGACACAGTGGACATTTGTGTGATTCCCCTAAAGCTTAACCAGTAGCTTAATTTTTACATGGGACTGAAACGTGTTTTTACTCTAACAAAGTCTAAATGATAATTTACAACTAAATTCTTCCTAAAGCTTTAGAATGATAAATTAAAAATCCCCTACCGTAATGAAGAATCTTTATTTTTCTCCAATTATTAGCAAAAATAATAGAAAAGAAATAAATGAAGAAAGTTGACTCTTGCTATAGCTTTTAAGATAAAAACCCTAAACACACACTGCTGATCCAAAGTGCTGTAGTGAAGTGTCAGGCTACGATGCTCTGCCAGAGCAGCTTCTAGTACTGATTCCAAGTCTGACTCTACTGAAGGGATGAACACTATTGTTTCAAAAGACATTTCCTCATGTGGGTTTTTGATGATGCTGCTGGAGAGGACTTTCTAATTTGTCATAGCTGGGCTGAGATCTGGTTGTTGTCATCACCTTTTGTATGCTATGGATGTGTGTAGTGTCATCCTGGAAGAGAACACTCGCATCAGGACATACAGATGAGGAAAAACCTGTTAGCCCACATCTGAAATTCAAAGTTTTTGTCAAAAAGTCTTTTAATTTTATTTAATAAATTTTTTTTGTTTTTGTTTTTTAACAGAGCAAGGGGTTTTCAACACAGAATTTCTAAACATAGCAGTTTTCTTTAGAAAGCATAAATTACTCAGTTTCATACTCTTATTAAGCCAAAGCACAAACCACTGCTGTGCAGTGAAGTTCTTTAACTTTTTAACGTCCAAAGCTTCTAAAATCAAGTGAACACGCTTTGCTTCTTGACAAGGGGAACCACCCCAGTCTACCAATCCAGAGGCCCTGTCCCTGACTGTTGCAGTCAGTGTTGCAGAGGTGCGTCAGCCATGACAGCCTCACAGCATCTAGAGCCGGGTGAATCTCATCCATCCCAGAAGCCCTGCCACCATGGAGTTGTTTAACTGTCTCTGTGACCTCACCTCCATTGATGGACAAATCATTCCTTTCACTGCCTGATATAGTTGGGCGAGTGGTTGAAGGAATAATATCTGGAATGACAGAATAGTCCCACCCCCAATATACACAGTGTAGAGAGGAAGCTGCTTTTTCTCCTGAATTGTCTAAAGGCTTACCAGAACCACTTTGAGCCCTGCTCAATTGCTTCACCATATTTATCGCATTCTGCTTGGCCTGCCAGTAGCTTCCAGCTGCCTCTAGAGTCCCACAAACTAGCCATGCTTGATGGAACTCCTCCTGAAGCTTAGCAGCTCCTTTCACCTCCATTTGGTTTGAGGATTACTGTCATGACAAGCACTAGCCGCTTTGGAGACACGACTCAGCACAGAACCACCAGCAATGGAGATGCAGAACATGGTCCATTCAGATTCACTGTCCCTAATTTCCCTCCCTTGTCCTGCGTCTCAGGGATTCTGACAGTTAGTAGGATTTATGATGATTCATTTACATTAGCATATTACAATGCTGCAATCAGGACTTTGTACGGCACAATAATTAAACACTTTGATCAGTTATTAAATAATTTATTTAACAAGAACTTAGAAGTGAGCAACATAATGTTTAAGGATCCACATTTCACTGTTTACTACTCTTTGCATCTGGGGATTTTATATTGTTCTGACTATGTGAGTTTTTATGCTTAAATTATTTTTTGCTAATTTGAAGTCTCTGATCACCATGTTGCTTTTTCCTTTGTAAATGCTCCTTAAAGACTGATATTTTGTCTGTCGCCGTGTTGGGTAACCAGGAGTGGTAACACTAGCAACCTTGGTTAGCAAGCGGCATTCATAAAATATGCCGGTACAACACCTAGACAGACATACTAAGTGCTGAGCAATCTTCTTGTAGTGTCTGTACTGCACAGCAAGACATATCATTTGTCAGATAATTCCATTGACAAGTAGAAGTCATGCTCATGCTATAAAATTGGGTATTTAACAAAGGAGTCTATGGAAATCAACTTATTTTTTGAGAGTAATTTAAGTTTATGCCACCTCCAAACTGACTTCAATTACTAGTCCCAGAGGTTGACACATGCACCTACCCTTTAAGCTTCAGTATTAAACTCTGTCTAATTATTCTTAGTAACATAAAAAAGAAGGCTCCCTGGAGCTGTCACTGTTTGGACCTCTAATAAATAAGGCTCTATCCAATCACAACCAACAATGAAAGCTCCTACATTCTCCTGTGGATTATGCTGATGTACTTTCGATTTCCACAGTTCCTATTTGCCTCAGCACAAACACTATCAATGATGTCTTCTTGTTTTTCAGGAAACGTGCAATAAATGTAAGAAAGCACCTGCCAGCCTAACCACAGTGTCCAGAGAGCACATGGTACCATGCCGTTATGTCCATGTAGATTCCACTGTTCCCCTTTCTTCCCTCAAGGACATTCAATGTTTTCAAACAAACCCCTTTCCAACACATGAATTATAAAACAAAACAAAACAAAACAAACAAACAAACAAACAAACAAAAAAAAAGCCCCTCCATTTAAACTTCCCATTAAAAGATGTAAATATAACAAGTCATTATATCTTGGCATTAATGAGTGTCAACAAGAAAATGGGAAACTATCACTGCCCTGCCCCATAAAAGTAAGTGTGAAGTATCTTCAGTGAATATTTTTGCTCGCATCTTAGCATCATCTCCTTCTCATATTTCCTCATATACTCTTATGACATGTCATGAATGCTACTGTAATAATTGTTATTATTACCTAAATAGTAAAGACAGTAGAACAAGAAAAAAAGTATTCACCTTCACCTTCTCCAGCTGACCTTGTTGCTCGTGTTGTCAGATTTGGCACGAGTCACTGAGTTATTTTACACGCAAGTCGCATTTTGTCGTTTGATGTTGTTTCTGTCCTGTTCAGTTTCTCCCATAGATGAAAGGTATGAAGACATGGATGATGTATATTAGCAGTAATATTGAGTACAGCATGAAAATAAAAAAGTGTAGTTTCATGTCCAGTTTAAAGAGATTTAACAAAGACTCCAAATGGCTTAAAAAAAAAGATGTGTGTGGTTTTGTTTTGTTTTTTTTAATTAACTATATCTACTCTACAGGAGTACTCAAAATTTGTTGTTTTTTGCCTGGGAATCTTACTGTCACAGTGTCTGACCGCATTGGGGCATTTTGTCGATATGCTGGTTCATTTATCAACGGAGGGGAATGTCCTCTTATCTGCACAAGTGTTTCAGGGGCATTTGCAGGTAACTTTCCAATGGTCATTCTACTTAGAGGCCACTCAACATCCCACATAGCAAGCAGGTCTGGCCCAGATCTGGTATCAAGCCGGCACTGCTGGCTGACTTCTGGCATGATAAGACGTATGTCATCCAGATATGGGCCAGGCCTGGCATAGATGGCACTGTCTATGTGATGGCATGCCACATCTGGCTCGATTGTGGTTCGGTTTATGTGGCCCAGTCTCATAGAAAACAGGTCTGGCCCGGATCTGGCATCAAGCTGACACTTCTGACTGACTGGTGTCATGGCAGGGTGTATGTCAACCAGATGTGGGGCAGGTCTGGCAATGACGGCACTATTTATGTTCCTATTTTAGTTAGAAGACCCAAATGTCATGTTGCAATACTATACTGCTATAGTAGCCAACGTTTCAAATGCAGGTTTGACAGGTTTGTGAGTGTACACTTTATCCAAAACCTAGTTAGGGTTTACTTATGTTTACCACTGTGTGGCTGTAGCTCAGGAGGTAGAGCAGGTCACCTACTGATCGGAAGGTTAGTGGTTCGATCCCTGGCTCCTCCAGTCTGCATGTCAAGAGTGTGAATGTGTATGAATGTAGTTAGGAAGCACCCAGTTAAGAGAAAGTGCGTGATTGGTGACTGTGGCATATTGTATAGAGTACTTTAAGTGGGAGACTAGACAAGCGCTATATAAGATTAAGTCCATGCATGTTCCGACACATGTTGTTATTACACGGATGACATTAGGATGACATCTTGGGCCAGCACAGGACACCAGTGTGTCTACAACTGGCCCGTGGCTGCACACAACTTACACGTGGCCCGCATACCGCAAAGAATGACGGCCCTTTGGTGGCCCAGATCAAGTTTGCCAGAGGTAATCCACACATGGGCCAGCACAGGACCACCAGTGTCTATGCAACTGGCCTTGTGCTGGGCCACCTCTGGCAAACCAGATCTGGGCCACCAAAGGGCCGTCATTCTTTGCGGTATGTGGACCATGTGTAAGCACATTGTTT